GTGTGTTGTAACTGCGACTTTTGAGACCACCTCATTGAGGAGATGATGAAAGAGTGGCTGAATGTAAGGAGACCAGGTGTTTTTTTTTTCCACCCCTCACCATCGCTGTTAATATGTAACTCCATGCATGCCCATCTCACAGCTGATGTGAAAAACATGGGGAAACAAATGAATGCTGTGCTTGCTGTTCAACCGCTCGACATCGGTGTGAACCGGACCCAGCAGGTGCAGCAGAAGCAGCGAGTTTACATGCAAAGTCAATGGTTGACGCGCGTATAGGTGCAGCAAAAGGTCCTGCAGCGCGTTTTGGTGCAGCACGTCGGGAGCGTTTAAGCATCTGAAGCGCCGCCAACGCGCTGCTGCTGCTCAAGATGGAAAAATTGAAGTTTTGCTGCTGGACGCGCCGCATCAACCAATCAGAGAAGCAGATCTGGGAGCTGACAGCGAGACAGACAGCGCTCTGATGACATATGATATTAGATGAAAAAGGCTGGATAGATGCATGGCTGAGGCAGGTGTATGTGAGAAGACTAGGTGTTTTTTTTTCCGCGCATCACCATCGCTGCGTGCCCATCTCACAGCCGATGTGAAAAAAAGGTGAATCAAATGAACGCTGTGCTCGCCGTTATCCCGGGGGTCTGACAAAGGAACTTCCACCGCTCGACATCGGTGTGACGCGCCCGTTCAAAGTAAGGCTGCGAGCGGCGGGGGAGCGATGGATGACAGACTGAGACCACAGTTTCATGATAAATGGAAGGCAGCGCCGGGCAAGTTACGCCACCGATTGCGGATGGATTGTAGATGCTTGGACTAACGTGTCTGCTGGCTCTGTTGTTCAAGCTTTCGCAAAAGCCGGCATTATTTCTGAGGAGCCGCGCTGCACGGAAAGTGACTCTGACAGCGCAGAAGGGGAAACTGGCATGTCTGATTTAGCGCAGCTGTTTAATTCAGAAACAGAGGATGAGGACTTTGATGGGTTTGATTAATACTTTGTAATAAATACTTGAATAAAGCACAATCATACTCAGTTTTGCTCCCGCTCTATTTTTCTACCTGAAAACTTAATTCAACAGCAGGCTCTGGGCCGCGGCGCATCCGGACTCACCTCGGCAGGTGTTTTTTCATCTAAATCTTTTTAAGTGAGAAAGTCCACCTGAAAATTTAATCATTGCAGTCAGCTCATCCAGATTAATATCCTGCCTATGTTTTAAGTTAATTTATGCGTCAATAAACGAAGAAGAAGGGGAAACTGGCATGTCGGATTTAGCGCAGCTGTTTAATTCAGAAACAGAGGATGATGACTTTGATGGGTTTGATTAATACTTTGTAATAAATACATGAATAAAGCACAATCATACTCAGTTTTGCTCCTGCTCTATTTTTCTACCTGAAAACTTGCCTATGTTTTAAGTTAATTTATGCGTCAATAAATTGTATCAGAGGAGTAATCACAGCCCTGTGTCATCAGCGATGTGTCTCTCATGGCCAGCTCCCAGGTTTGAATAATACTTTGTAATAAATACACCTTGCAGCTGTATTTGCTGTGATCAGTGGGAATAAAGTAGTTTTAATATGTTTTTAAGTGGGAAAATCCACCTGAGAGGACATGTACCTGTATATAAAAAACGCGCCCTATAGTCCGGTGCGCCTTATGTGTGTGTTAAATACAGAAATGGGACACATAACTGAGAGTGCGCCTTTTAGTCCGGTGCGCCTTATGGTCGTGAAAATACGGTAACTTACACTTAAAGTATTTTAACGATCAGATCATTTATGGCCCACGTATGAGCATACGCTGGCATAGGTCAAGACGTATTTACCGTTTGTCGACGTGTGCCAGTGTGTTTCAGCTTGCTAATAACTTCAACAAAACTGGCCAATAACTTGTGCAACATATGCCAGTGTTTTTGCCAGATTTTTTGTATATCAGGCATACATGGGCTAAATCGCCATGGTGTGACAGGGACTTAAGAAAAGTGTATATAGAAGACCTTAATAATTTACATTCTATGGCACATTAACTCTGTCTGCTACTGTGGTATAGTACAGAAAAATTTGGGTTTCCCATCATTTTTATGTAAGTAATACCTGTATCAATTGACATGATCAACTATTTCAATTGGAATAGTATAAATCGAGAAACTAAGATGCTTTGTTCTATGCTAGGTTTTCTGATTCCCATATTTATCCAGACTTTAAAATGAGAAAGACCAAACGTCACACTTTTCCAGATTTTCTAGTTCAAGGAAACCAGTATTAAATCTTAACCAATTCTGAAACTTATCACAGAGCCATTATTGACAGAGAACAAAAAAATCTGACACAATGGCTGAGAGATGCATCATCGTTTACCTAAATATCTACTATATAAGAGGTCTTTAAACAGCAGAACCTTGTTAGTTTTAAATAATATTTAATGATCGTACTGTAGCCTGAAGTGACCAAAATCCAATTTTTTTACCCATACGCAACCTGTATCTGATATTTTTATGACAGCCCAGTTTTTAAAATGCGAATGTTTAAAATGTGGTCCTGAATTCGATACGCATCTGATCTATTCAAATATTACCTGTGTCGCATTCATCTGACCTGCTCATCATTAATACTCAACAAAGGACCCTATTCTCTGTCTTGCAACTCAGAAGCAGAAAGAAAAACTATTGGCGGACGACAATGCCGAGAGCAGTCTTTCTTTTTGATCTTCTTGAAAAGATTGCTTTGTTAATGTGCTGGCTCCGGTCGGAAAAGAAATGAAAGATCACTAGATCACTCAAGCAGTACAATGCATGATAAGATCCGTATGTGTATGTGTGACGTCATTGCTTCGTCTACTGCTGCACGAGGGAATGTTGGGCTGCATAAATGCAGTTCACACAGAAGATCACATACAAGCAGGCCTTTAGCTAGGAATATACAGCTTGATGTATGACATCTTTTTGAAATGTAGAGTCTCTGAACAGCCATTTCCTTTATCTGGAGGTGGAAGGCAGCTAACTTTTTATTTTTGTTACAAACCTACGTGGCGGCTGGAAGTAGATATAAGTGTTTTTCCGGTATGTCGTACAAACTGCAAGCACCAGAATAATAAAAGTGAAAGTATTTTGCCAACAGGTTTCACATTTTAATTTAATTTAGGCGTTAATAAACTGTTTCAGAGGAGTGATCACAGCACTTTGCATCACAGCGCTGTCTCTCTCCCTGTCAGCTCACAGATCAGCTTCTCTGATTGGTTGATGTGGCGCGTCGAGCTGCAAAAGTTTCATTTTTCCAACTCCAGCTGCTTGTGAACATTTTTCACGTTTGGGCGACATTTCCAGGGGGAAAACAGGGCATATAATTTGTCCTTTCTTAATAAAGGCCGTTACATTTTCGGTCGTACACATTGCTAGCTGTAAGCCTGCATACAAGTCACATATATTTGGAAATGTTAACGACCACACAAAACCATAATTTCCCAAAAAAATAAGAATTTAGCATTAAGGCCTGCAGTGTGAATGTAGCCTTAGAAAGTCTGAGGAAAGAAATGTGAAAAACACTTAACCTTTATAGAGTGTACCTCATTGAAACTGCTATGCTAAGGCATTAAGAATGATTTAAGACTTTTTGCACTCAGCTAATATAAAAGCTACTGATTTCCCAAAACAGCTAAAAAAAATGAGCAAGAAAGCAGACCTAATATAAAAGCAAAAACATTCATTGGCCATTTTATTAGGTACAACTTAGGCAACTTAGTGAATTAGATATCCATGTGGCATGGTTCGTGTTGTCAGGCAGCCTGATGGAGGTTTTTTAAAATCTGCTGACCTGCTGGGATTTTCACAGATAATGTGACACCTGTTTGGGCAAAAATGGTTTACTGATTTCAAGGAATAACTGGCAGTATAGTTTCAGGGAAGAAATTCAACGAATGCTAAAATAATCATGTTATAAGTGCAGACATCACATGGAACCTTGAAGCAGATGGGCTAAAGGAGCAGAGGGCCACATCTAGTCGCTGCTCCTGAGAGCAAAGGGAAACTGAAGCTGCATAAACTGGACACTAAGATAAAAAGAATATTAGGGAATGTTGGTCTAGAGTGGTTGGCTTGTGCTCTTGGAAGGCTGCAAGTACCTGGATCGATTCCCAGCCTGCACTTTGGGTCCCTGAGCAAGACCCTTAACCCCACACTGCTCCCCTGGCACCGCACAATGGCAGCCCACGGCTCTCCAAGGGGATGGGTTAAATTCAGAGAGTTAATTTCTCCATTGTGAGATCCATTAAGTTAAATTACTATTATTAAAAAATGTTGTCTTGATGAAAGAGTAATATATTCACCCGAAACAATCAGATGGTAGGGTCCAAATTTGGAAAAAAGGAAATTAAAGCAAACATCCATCCAGCTGTTTGTCAATGAGTCGGGCTGGTAATGTGTGGCATATTTCCTTGCCACGCTTTAGGTACATTAGTATAAAACAAGCACAATCTAAAACCCAGCAGGTTATCAAAGTACCCACCCCTTTAACGACAACCCTCTGTGATGGCTTCTTCCAGCTGAATATTTCACCATGTCAGAGAGATCATATCATTTCAACCCAGCGCTACACTGAGCTCTTATGGCCTCGATAGTCACCAGCTCTAAATCCATTAGAACCATGTGAACTGTGTCAGACTGGGCGCAGTTTTTAATCATGGATGTGCAGACAAGAAATCTGCATAAAACCTTATATCATTAATGTAGCCAAAAAGAAGGATCCAACCCACAACCAGAAATGTGTACCTAATTAAATGGCCAATTGGTGTCACACAATCAGATATATAACAATGTTAAACATGCAACTACAAAAACACAAGATTAGTACCAATAACAGAATAAAAAAATGAGTGAAGTCCAGACAGCTCATAGAAGAGCTGATAATATTATCATGCAACTTTGATGGGTAGATGGATGATTGTTAGGATGGCATAACAAATATATGGGATATGGCAGCAGTAGAACGTAGAAGTAAAAGTGCTGCTGTACCTGCTGACTCACCTTAGTCCAAGGGTGGGCCTTAATCTGGGGGAATTTGAACTCAGTGTAGTTGGGGTTCATCTCACGGATTTGTTCTCTGGTCGGAGTACCAAGAACCTGAGCAGAAATGGGGAGGTGTTAACCTCAATGACCTGAAATCTATAACGTAACAAGCCTTTTGGTATATCAGCCTGCCTCTTACCTTTATAATTTCCACAAGCTGATCCACCCCACTGTCACCAGGGAAGATGGGCTGTCCTAACAGCAGCTCTGCCAGTACACACCCAGCTGACCACACATCTGGAGAAGGAGCATCAACAACAAGAAAAACAACGGGTCAGACACCACAGCACACTCTAGATGGGTCATGCTACGATCCCTGATGCCGTCTGTGACAGCAGGGGTACTCCTACCTATGCTGGAGGTGTAGTCAGTGGCTCCGAAGATGAGCTCTGGGGCCCGATAGTAGCGAGAGCAGATATAGGACACATTGGGCTCTCCACGGACGAGCTGCTTCGCACTGCAGATAGAACAAAAACACTAAACCATTAGCATCACTACTTTCTCTTTTGGAAAACAAAGAACATGAAACCACTGAGATCTGGTTTTATATAGTTAGATACATCTGCCCCCTGTTGTGGAGAATCCTGCAGTAAGAAGCAAAGAATAACAAAGGTTTAGCACTAAAATAGCTCTTAATAGCGTTACATCTTACTAAAAGCCCAAACCTTTTCCAATTATAATATCCTTATTTTACTTTTTAACGTCACAGAAATAATAATACTTTACAAGTCCAAGAATCCAGGGTCAAAAAGAAAATGGGCTTTCTGATTTATATAATTAATTTCATGTTTTGTCTGGTTATCTCTGTTGTCTGTTTCATGTTGATGATATGAAACATCCATGTATGACAGAACAGCAAAAAAATGTTTCTACACAGATTTAATAAGCATTTAACATAATGAACTAAAACTAGATGGAAAACCTTTAACAAACTGTCTGCAGCTACATTTTACGTTTTTAAACTTTTTTCCTCTGATGTGAACCACTTCTCCAGGCACACGACTCAAACCAAGCTTGACAGCTAGACTGTTACTAATGGGTCTTTTTCCAATGACTTTATAACCATTTATTCAGTACAGCTCATTCTAACAGAGTTCAGCATAAATTATTTAAGTATAACATAAGGCATTTTTGTGAAGCTTCTGCGTGTTAACAAAATGCTTTAGAAATTAAATTGACACGGACAATTCGATCAGAGCCCAGCACTTGCAGAGGGGGAGTCTGCACTGCGTGTTCAGATGAGTGACAACATCATTGTTGATTAGAGCGGCGTGCTGCAACCATCGACCCCCCCACTTCACACTTTAATGCCAATATGGTTCTGTGACTGACTCCAATGCCGACTCAGTGGCATAAAACAGGCAGATCAATTTAAACCTTCACACTGTCTCTATAGTTTAACATACGCAGATGAGCAGCAATCAGGTCCAGCGTGAAAGTCGTGATGAAACTGTTATTAAAAGAAGCTGTTCTTATGCATACAAGTTAGGGAAAGATTGATGAAGGAAGAGGGGCTTGAAGGAAGCCATCTATGTTAAGAAAACCTAAACGGAGGGTGTGGACTCAGATTTCAGCTTTCAAAAACCTGCCATAGAGTTGATTCCTTCTCGCTATCATCGCAGCCCCCACCACATTACAGGGGGACAGAGCACCTCGCCTCTTCAGCCAGGCCAACAATTCCCTCTAACGACCCCCTTGCAGAGACATAGATAGGTGTCCGGTATAAAGACTAACAAAGAACCCAAACGACCCCCATTCCAGTGGGGCGAAAACGGTCGTCAGGATCAATTTGCATGTTTGAATCAATTTGACTGTATGATCTGGTTGAACTGTAAAGTGCCTTGAGATAACTTGTGTTGTGAATTGGCGTCATATAAATAAACTGAATTAAATGTTTCTAACCAAAAACAAGACTTTGTTTTGGCCCACTCAATAAAGCCTCAAACGCAGCGCTATTCCTGACATTTTTAATTGAGAAAGCTTCCTGGATGGGAAGTAAAATGTCCAGTGGATTCTTGTTTGATTGTTGATTTTTTTTACTTTTTTGGAATTGATGAAGTAAAAGGAAGATTAGAAGTTAGATTTTCTGATGTATAATTGACCAGGAATTCTTTTCGCTTTTAGCAAACAGAAAGAAAATCGCATGAAAGATGCAAAACGGAACAGAGAAAATATTTTGATCTATATTTATGTTTTTTAAGGAGACAACAAAATGCTCTGTGTGTCTCACCTGCCAAAGTCGCAGAGCTTCAGCACAGCCGTCTCTGGGTCCAGCAGCAGATTCTGGGGCTTGATGTCCCGATGGCAAATCCCAAACGAATGGATGTAAGCCAGGCTCCTGAACAACTGGTACATGTACAGCTACAGGGAGGAAGACAGAGATGGGTTACAACTGCACAACAAGCAGACACCTGCCATAGGGAGGTTTTTCTCTCAGTTCATTTTATCATCCTGTCATTTTTTTTAAAGCACACTTTTAACTGCGCTTTGCAGAGATGAACGAGACACATTTCATCATTTGAGAGGTTACAGCTGTCTAGTCTGTTCAAATTAACTGATTTGGATCATTTCACAGGAAATGAAATCATTTTTGCCTAAAAGGGTTAACAAATAATAAACAAATGTTTATTATTAGATTATTGAATGACACTGGAACAGGTCAAAAAAAGAACATCTGAGATTTAGGATCCAAGAAGAAGAAGCTTCTCTTCTTGTCATAATAATCATGAAAACACAAACTCTGTTTGATTTACCTTAACATAAACCATGGGCAGCGTTTGTTTGGCTCGGCTGTAGTGTCTGGCCACTCTGTAGACCGTCTCAGGAACATAGTCCAGAACCAGATTCAAGTACACCTCGTCTTTCTATTGAACAGAAGAAAAACAGGGAAACCTTGGTTGAAACTAGTAAAGCAAATATTAAATACCAATATAAACATAAGATCAAATTGAGGCGCATACTGGAAGCCTGTTAAAATGATCTGTACTGCCATTTACAAGCTGACGTAACACATTTTCAGAAGCTTAATGGGAATCCATTGTATCGTCCCGGAGGGCAGGAAATGGTGCGTCACAACATCCTCGGCTTTAACAGTGGCCATGGACAATGATATCGTTGCCTTGTTTCCTGGTTTGAAAGAAGCAAGTGTTGGTTTGCAGGGTGTGTGTGTGTGTGTATATGAGGAGTTCTCCACCCAGGACTTCCTTTCGCCTCCATGTGCAACCTGATGTGGACAAAATTAAGCCACCAGACAATAGATGGAGACTTTTAAATGACGACTGCAAATCATGATTTAGCCTGAAATGTAACAGTTGGTAACAGGACAGCAGGGGTCTCCATCGCCTTCATTGTCTCTGTCTTTCATAGTATTCTATGTATTAACAGCTCTGAAAGGAACACATCAGTCTGCCCTATATACAAACAACAGCCTCTGGCCAGGATCTGTGGTAACTTCTGTCAGCTCAGGGTGCTGCTGCGACATAAATGTCCTCTCTTGCTCAAATTAATCAATTATGTGGGTCAATAATTGTAAAAATTCATCTGAAGTTAGAAAATCACTTAGTAATAACTCATAGCTTAGGAAAATAATATAGACTACATAGAATATGGTCTTCAGGAAAGATTCCCACTCTATAATGTATATTTTGCACTAACAATTACTTAATTATTTTGATTGAAATAACTTAAATTGGTTTATTACATTTTTATAAAGCATAACATTTAATGTGGGTAAGGACATTTTATTTTATTTTTTTGCCAAAATACTATAAAATTTGAAAAGGTTGGTACCAAATATTACTCATTAACTGTATTAAAAGAATGCAAATAAATATATATTTAAGTGCAATGCTGCAGTTTTTGCAGGGTAATCTACATTACTGCCACCTTGTGGTAACAGGAACACATTACAAAAAGCAGGTTAAACAAGGTGCTGGCATTGAATTTCAAGACTTCTCTTTACTGCTGCTTTGTAGTTAAAAGAAAATGTTATAGGGAGAAATAGACAAGGGGCTGTAAATAAAGGGATTAAACTTGGTGAAACCAGACCTTAGAAAAAAATTATGTGATGCTACAATATTCAGACTCGCATATAAGGAAAAACTAAAGGAAAATAAATTAAGTAATTTACCTCAAACATAATAATCAGAGAATATGTTTTAGTCTAGATGATGTTTTAACCTGGCTGTAAGAGTTAAACTCTGCAGAGATGCAGTCAGCAATATGGTCCTAGTCAAAGTCGTTTCATTGTGAATGTCAATGTAGAGGTTTTGTTTACAAACAACCCATAGGTGTTTTATATATCCTTGCTTATTATTCTGTATCTTCATATGAATCCTGGAGGTGATAGAGAAGCAGATTGTGACCAGCTAAACTGTTTATTTTTTATATAAATTCCAGCATTTTAAATGATTGTTGGAACAGAAATCAAGATTGCACCAGTTTGACGATTGTGCTGTCAAACTATTATCAATACTGCTGGGAAATCTGAGCATCTTGGCTTGTTTAACTGCAGCAACATTCTGCAGGTAGAGAACTACAGAAAAAAATAACATGGGGAAATCCTTAAGGAATGCCTTAAAGAACCAGAAAATACCTCCTATAACACAATGATCTGAGGGGAGCTAACTTCCTCTACATAGATAGAAAGATGTGATCTGCCTGGCTCAAGGGAATCACTACTACAGTCAGATACAGAAAAGACAACCGTTTACTAAATACACACATTATTCTACAGTCATTTTCACTTCTTGGAAGTGAGTTTTTCTCTTCCCGAGCCATGCATGCCAGTCTGCAGCCATTCCCCCATTGATAGCATTTGTGACGGCTGGGGAGCATGTTCCGCCTCCTGCTAGCGCAATCAATGCTATATTTAGCCTAGCAACAGCGATGACTCACTTCCTGCCTCACTGCAAAGCTACTTCCTTGGCTTCTTCCCAGAGGGATTGCCATGCAGAATCTGGATTGGCTCCTTGTACCATTTTCTAGCTAAATTACAACACATCCACCTGAACAACTGGGTGAAATGAAACAAAAATATCTAGTTCCAATTTGCTGAATCCTGGGTGGAATCTGTGTGTCTTATGATGAACAGTTTGAACAGCCTGTTTAAGCAGGTGTGGTTTGTGCTTCATGTCATAAGCTCTCACGTATTCTATAGGTCAGCTTTTAGGAAGCATACGCAAATCCATTAGATAAATGAGCAGGGCAGTACATGTTAATAATGAAGGTGAGATTATGAGGACAGACAGAAGGACTGATGAGGAGTGAATCGGCACTTTGTCACATTCTAATATAGAAGCTTCCAATGTGGCTTAGTGGAAAAGACACAGTATGTCTCACACGGCATTTAATCTGTCTCTATATGTCTAAAAGTTAATCCTTCTCCACCTCTACCAGCTTTGCTGGACCTCACTGATTAACCTAAGGAAGTGCTGCTCTGTGCATTAACATCTGCGTGGGTTTCTAGACTAAGAGCTGAGGGATGAACGTGGCTTTCTGAAGGCCACAGCATAGAGCTGTGGTTTTCAAAATATATTTTGGACCTGTGTTTCTGCCTCTACACACCTGATTTGAATAAAATTGGAACTGCCTGGCCTTAGTAGCCGCTAACGAGGTAATGCAAAAATTTGATTCAGGTGTGCTAAAACAGAGACTCCTAAAACATGTAGGATAGCAGTTCCAGAGGGCCAAGTTTAGAAAACCGCTGCTTTAGAGAAAGATTAAAATGTGCAAGCTTGATTTTAAGGCATTCTTTGATCAAAATTAAGTTGTTTGGAGTGATTGATAAAAAAGAAAATCTGTTGAATGACGGTGAAGGTGTCTTAGGGTCTGATAATCTGAAAGGTGCAGGTTTACCTATTTCACACATTGAAGTGTTTGTGGAAATGACTAAATTTATAATAAACCCCAAATTCATCGAAAGCCATGGTAGACTTAATCTCATCGGTGATGGCTACAACAGTTTCTATAAAATAACTATAAAAAATAATAATAATAATTGTAGAATTTTGCAGAATAAAAGTTTAATTTTATTGTAAAAGATATATAGTATGTCTTATTATAAGTAATTAGCTTACACAAAAGAATTCTGCAACAACAGGAATGCAAGAGCTCAGCATTACCAGATCCTTGTGGCTCTGTTATAGAGCTGAAAAATGAACTTTTTATTACAAGGGCTGAATGGAGTTTGCCACGTACTGGCTGGGAGGGGATAAACTTGATGGCATCACCCTTCATTTTAAACCACAATATGGCTATTTTCTGTTTTGGTTTTTTTTAACAGCAGGTAATTTGAACATTTGAGTACTGAAGAATTTGAGTTCTTGTCTCAAATCAGACAGAGAATCTGAGAAACCTGCAAATCTTTAGGCATATAACTTAAGATAGCCAAAATGCTCTGAAACAAACAAATAGAAATTCATGCATTAAACAAAGATGTGTTCGCTGCAATGCTAAATAACAGCTCATTTTATTATTATTGCAGAGAAAGTATTGATACTTTTTGGCATATTTGAAAGGAAAGGAAATCGATAAAAAAAAAATGGTGTTGTTTCTCCTGAAAGTTAGACCTGGCCCATTCTGTACATCCCATACATTTTACTACTGGCTCAGAGCTGATCTGTTTATTTGTGTTTCCTTGCAAGATGAAATCATAAACAACCAACTACTATCATTACCTCCTTATGTTCTCTTCCTTATCAAAAATACTCTTGGAAAAGAGCTGTTAAGTTTCATGCATCTATTTTTATTTTACTCCAATAATTGCAGTGATATTCTATAAATGTATTTTTCTAGGAGACGGCAAATCTAAATTGGTATGAAATAAGCACATTGTTATCATGACTCAGGCTCTTTATGACTCAAACGTTTTGAGTTTGGTGCTTTAGTAAACATATTTATGTAAAATACTGCACCATCCTGATGAGCTAAAAATAATTGCATAGCTGATAATCCGATCTGAAAATGTGTCAGGTCTTCTAAAAGGCTGAAAAATTAGCGATGGGCAAAATGGCGTTAGATTAGGAGGAATTGGAACATTCAGACGCCAAAGCAGCTAGACTATAGGGGAGTTTATATATTCTATGCTTAGATGTTCCACACTGCTATTCACATACATTTGTTTTGATTTTCTTCAGCTTCATTTCTTCTTGGAGTAGGGATGAAACAGCTACAGGATTAAATGATTAATACAGTAAAACATGGTATTAACTGTGTTGGCTGCTATAGAATGTAATTAAAGCATATTCCGGTATGGCTGTGTTTTAAAACTGCCATTTTATTGTTCATCAAATGAAAAATCTAAATTCCCCTCCATACAGAGGCAAGCAGAAGGCAGTAATGCAGCTGGGCTGCTTAAGACAAAGAGCAATAAGAGATTCATTTATTCTGGATTTTGTGTGAGATTGACTTTTCGGAGCTTTTTTTTTCTTATTTTTTTGATCTCCACTGAATGCAGAAGGAAACAACAGAAGTAGTCCCCCAACTTCCACAGTTAAATAAAGCAAAATGATATAGATGCACTGATCCCAGGATTAATACGAGATGTAGTTGTATCTGTTAATGTGCTCAGTTACTAAAAAATGGATACAAACATCATTCTCCCTCAAAATGCCATTAGATGAGGTAAGTGGCTGTAATGCAGCATAAAATCGAGGCAAGACTCAACAAGAAGAAACAGCGGCAGTAGCAGTGGCAACGGGAGTAGCTGCTACCCTAAACTACAGCGCGAGTTGAAGCAACCAGACTGTTAATGGGTTATATCAGCAGTGAGGGGGTCGCTAGGGATGTCCAGATTCAGCTTTTCCATTTACGATAGGTTAACAATATTACAACTTTGATAATTGTCCGTTATTGACCCGTTAACGACATTACCACGATTCATGCATGCTTTTATTTCTGTAGAATGCTAGAAAAGGCTTAATCAAGTAATATTACCAAGTCAGAGAACAAAAGTTAAAAAGATATACGAGAACAACTAACTCATAGTATTAACCAATGTGTTACAGAAACAGAGTCTATGAGCATTGAAATATCTGAGATTTTGGATGCTTGTTGAAAAAAATCCAATAATGTTTAAGCTATATGATCAGAACTCTTTGGCTGTGTCCAAACGTCCACCCCAATCACTAAATAGGGCCCTATATAGTGGGTATGTTATTTTAAAAGAGTATCAGGATGTCTATGGGATGAAAATGTGGTTGACTTGAAATTGCCCACAATGCACCTTGAAAAGTAGTGATCATCCCTTGTAAATAGACAAGCAGATATATTCCACACTACTTTGAGAGAGCTCTCCTCAAAAAGCATCATTGGATTTGTTGTGACAGTGACCCGCTGCCGGGTATTGAGAGCGACGACAAACAAAAATGGCGCATGCACGACCCAGGGAGGCAGAGTTAAGTGACCAACAGGGAGCGAAAAGTAGTGATCATCTGTCCGAACGGTCAGTTAACCGAGTTCACTATAAAGTCGACTTGCTCTGATTTAGGGATTTAAGGGTTAGGGTGAATGTTAGGACACAGCCTTTGTCATAACTAAGCTTTATTTAGTGTTCATTTCAGTACTTTATATTGGTAAGTTCTAAACTGTCAGTATTTGTACTTTTATGTCTGTTGGAGAAATCTGGTATTGGTGGATCCCTAGTTCATCGTAATCATAATTTTTTAACATCTCCTTTATGTAACAGTTGCTTACTTCATCCACATATGTATCTATTCAAACCAGTTAAACATAGAGTACACTGTAACTCTGAGGTATGTTAACAGGTTTGCAAATGTGCAAATATTTCTATAACTGAGTGTTGAAAAATTAACAGAAAACTGCAGAAAAGCCCTATTCTTTTGTCTCAGACATACCTATCATAAGAATGTCAGGAATAGGACTTTTTTAAGATTTTGGAGAAAAAGGCAGATTCTTAAAAAAATAAAACTGTTCCCAATTATTTAGTGGTGCCAACCTTTTGTGTTTAAACTAGGGATATGATATCAGATGTGATACTAACATTACAACAAAAAGAGAACAACTCACCCATATTATTAAATTATGGATAATACAACCTTTAATATATAAACTGCTAATATCAGAGCTTTTAGATGCTGGCCGATATCTTCTGATATTAGGGTTTTTTGCTGATATCAGATCAATATTTAATGTCCATATCACATCAGGACAATTACACTGTTTGTATTATTGGTGATAATGGGGTAAAACTGTGCTGAATCGTACTGTTTAATACAAAAATATGTTTACCTGCAATTTAACATATTATTTTATTCATAATTCTGCCACAGTTACACATATTTTGGGATGAGATGAAGCACCATTCAGAAACGGTGAGAGTGGGAGAAATGTTTCACTAGCAAAGTTCCCTTTAATCTAAGATTTTGAACTTAATGTATTCATACAAATATAAAAATCTGCTTATTTCTACCTAAAACATGCTTTTATTAAGTACTTTTGTACATTAGGGAACAGAGATGTGTGACTGTAAGCTGCTCTTCACTCTTAGGTATACTGAAATGATTTCTGTGAAGCAGATAAAGTGAAGTGACTGCTCTACTTCAATGCTGCTTTGAAAAGTCTTATTCTCAAGAGGTAAAAGTCAACTAACTATTTGCTTACAGCCCACGCTGTTTGGAACAATGGCCTTCAGTTTAAATAGTATTATACAAGAGGTTAAAGTGTAAAAGCTGAAGCACACCATGTGCCTCGGGCCCGCCACATGTCAGCAATTGCATAAGACTACCTGTGCACATAATGACAGCTGTGGCAGCTGTAGCTGCATGTCTGACACTTGCCTCTCTGAAAGATGCGTCCAGCATGAGCTCTCACTTCACCATTCATACAACACCTACACCTCTTGTCATTTCTTCTCAGGGTCTTCTCAATAAAGAGCCCATCTATCCATCCATCAGCCTGTCTGGAAGTTTCCATCTCTGCTCTGAGCTGTGACTAACTTTTCCCCACTTCACTAGCCCTCCCTCCCATATTTCTCCCCACTGTAGGCTCTATGGGTGGTAGGTCCCCATACCAACAACACGGTGCCAGTCGCCATAATTAGCCCAGTGATTTGATGAGGAGAGAAAAAAGGGGGAGTAATAAATGAGAGCAGAAAAAGGCAACACAGCAGAAAGAAATGTAAATGGATGAAAGTGAGAAATCAAATTGAGATGGAATGAAAACATTTCTTATGTTACAGTAAAACTATAATTTTAGGATGGAGGGGATTCGTTTCTGACACAACAGCCTCTACAAATAAATTATTAGCCATGTACTCCCAGAGGTCAGCGGGCACATGAGGTATGAGGGAAAACTGAAGTGGAGCTTAAGGGATAGAGGGGACAGCTTGAGTAAGTCTATAATTAACCAACAACCCTTCCAAAGTTATGTCCCACCACCTCACACAATCATCTCTAAATAAGCTTTGTCCCCACCAATCCTCAGCCCCAACCTACCACCCAATAATCCTCAAGAGCTTTCCTTTACCCTCAGTAGGTGTGCTGCAGAGCAGCATTCCTAACTGCTGTGTCATGGGTATAGTCCCTGCAGCATGTGTGCCAAGTCCATGTGTGTCTATATTTGACACACAGACCTCTGTGGGCCTGTTTGTCAGTCAGCTGAATGATACCTTCCAGTCTTTCAGTCCCCAGAATACCCCCCCAAAGCCTGACAGAAATAGAGAGCAAGACAAAGGAGGTGGCTTTCCTCTCCTGATAGATGGTATAATATGTTGAATTTATCAAGCAAGGCAGGAGTCAGGCTTAGGACTGGTTTGATCATTCAAAAAATAAAATCAGTTTGGACAAACTTTTAAGAATTCCTAAAAATATACATTTTCTGGTTTATTTTATTTTCAAGAATAGCTCAATAACAGCAAAGAAGCTCCACCTACTATAGTGGTTGCGTTGGAATTATTGATACACAATATATCTCTTAAACTGACCTTGTCCCCACTGGAGTAGAAGAAGTAACGCAGGCGGACTATGTTGCAGTGGTCCAGCTTCCTCATGATCTGCAGCTCACGATTCTGCAAATGAAACAAGAAACATCAAGATAAAGATAAGTTAGGTCGAAGTATCAGCCATGTTTAGATTTAAAACATCTTTGAGTAAATCTGCAGTTTTATATTCTAACAAGAAACACAGTTTAGCCCTTTAAACCATTACATTTCACTTGCAGTAGAGTTGAAAATTTAGGAAAACTATAGCTCAGGAGTTGAAGCATGAGAGCCATGTGGTTTAGTTCAGCTAAAGTTACTAACAGGGGCATAAAAAGTTCTAAAGAAAAGAGGTTCAACAAAAAGATCTTACTTGATCTCAAGTGATTGTATAACCTTTGCAGAATGAAAACCAAAGTGTAGAAAAAACAAACGCAGGGTGGTCGGGACACAGAGAAAACAACCCAAAGACCACACCACAGTAGGAACCATAGAGCATGAGTCAGAACCGGGTTGGTTGGGTTAAAATCTACCTGAAAGGAGAATCTGGCCGACTGCCAACTCAAAACAACAGGTTCAGACATTTAAAACTGGAGCAAATAACTCTATATATATATATAACTTTCTAACTAAATGAGAGTCTTTGAAGGGAAGCCCTGAGAAAAACTGGAGTGTGCATTATCCTATATGGAGGGATGGCTTGTAGAGAATAGCGTGTCGCAGCTCATTGATGTAAACACGCTATGACTGCTTTCGTCAACCAAAGACAAAGATAAATGGATGAGCAGTCACCACCTGGGGAGGATTTCATGCACCGCAGGCATGTTATACACCATTGTTTCTCAAAGTTGGAGTTCTTTCTTCAACTTCAGAAGGGAAATCAATTCCGATGCATTAAAATAACGCAGAATACAGTGAAAAGGTTAAATAATATTATCAAATTATTTTGGAAAACAAAAATTGTGCATTATAAAGATTCATTACATCTAAAGTGAAAACCTTTATTTGTTATTTTAACATATTTTTCCCACCTTTTCAGAACACCTTATCATTTGACCTTTACCTCTATATAACTTCTCTGTATTTTCTTAAAAGGAAAAAGCTTAAGAGCTACTGAATTAGTTCCTTACATTTACAGTAAATTATAATTCAACAGAAGCTGCCTGAATGTGATGAATTAATAAAAAAATGTACTTAACTTTGAAAATGATGATTTTCTCTCATATTATAAAGCAAGATGTTTTACATGACTACTCCAGATTATAACCAAGGGGAACAAGAAAGATAACGTTTCATGAACTTTTCATAGATGGTTTAGAGAGCTACACTTAAAAATGTTTTCTGTGTAGACACTGATGGATGAGTGAATGAAGAGATTAAAATCAAGTTTGCAAATACTTGTTTTTTCCATTTTAATAATAAAAAAGTACAAAAAAAAATATCTAGACTGTGGAAATACTTTAATCCAAATTAATTCTTGTTAAGAAAGCATGTAGCCTTAAAAACACTAAGTCATTAGATTCTAGATACCACTAAATCAGGACAGATTTACCAAAAATATTCTCAGACTAGAAACCTGACAGGTGAAAGGCGACTGAAATTTAAAGCCATCCGTCTTTTTTTCCTTTCTCCAAATTTTAATACTGGTCCTTCTTTGTGTCACTACCAGCACCACAGAAGCATGCTATATCTGGTGCCTCGTATAGATAATACACTCAGTCAGTTAACAGTTGATGCAAATCGGTCCCAAAGCCCCCTCTACCCCGCCTCCTTTCTTTACTAACCAAAGCAAACACTCAGAACCCCCAACATGCACGTAGGCCACAGTCCAGACATCGAACTATTGTGCACTGCAGCCAACGCCCTCATCTTCTTGCACTGGACTGTCCCAGGGTGTGTCTTTAATTGTGTGTCTGCATTATGTGCGAGGGTGATGGTAGCATATGGAGTAGGAGCAGACAGACGGTTGAGTAAAGCTCTGCTCAGCTCCTGTTATACTGCCGTCCTTCCTGCTGACTTGTCATCCGACTGTGTCTCAGCAGCCCAGACACGGAGTGGCCCAAATGGAGACGGAGAAGGTGAAAAACTGAGGGGAAAAAATGCCCTAATTGTAGGCTGCAAAGGGGGAGCATCTCATACTGCTGATGTGTACTTCCAGATGAAACCACATCTAGCAGACTGAGCACACAAACCCAAAGCAAACCACCTACACAAACACACAGCCTGTTTTTTTCTCTCTTCTGCTTTAGTAAAAGCTTAAGGATTAGACTGAATACAGCCACAAAATAACCTAAAGGCTACATATTTGTCATCTTTTTTAATCTTACTGTGACTGAAACCTTGAAATAGACAAAGACGGAAAGAGGTTGAGATTTAATTTGATGGGAATGAAGTAGGCCACATTTTCTGTTCTGCTGATGTTTTTTTAACAACATACACTCCAATGGAAGATTTACGATAAAAAAGGATCATCAATACATTTATATATAAATCCACACATCTATTTTTGAACCCCCCCCCCCAAAAAAAAAGAATGATAAATCAGGTTGTTAATTGCCCAATATTAAAGAGTTACATCCATTAAACATTTTTCCATCAATTGAAGGAATGATGCGGTAAGAGACACCTCTAAACACAACCTACAGTCTTTCATTGGGAAAACTATGGATGGCAGGTGTTATGTTGTTTGTTAGTCAAAATCTATTGATTTTGGTTCAATAGATTTGGCAACAAACTGACTAATTCAATCATAAATTTTTGTTCTTTACTTTTTCCTTTCAGGTTTATCAAATAGGTTCATGATACAATTAGATTCTGTTTTATTTTCTTATATTTAAATCATGTAAAGCACTTTGCATTGTCTTTGTACTGAATTGTCCTATACAAATAAATTTGCCTTGCCCAATATGACAATATCAAAAGCAACTAATAAGAAGCCCCACATGAAACAATAACATCCTTTGCAAAAAATACAGGCTTCCCGACATGAGGCTATAAGGAAAAGGAAGCTTCTAATACATGATTTAGAACTGACTAAGAAAAAATAACAGCGACTGCAGTACTTTAATGTGCACTTGAGATAAAGTAATATTTTGTTAAAATAGAAGTTATTGCAAAGGACATCAACATACACTGATGGTAGATCTAGGCTACAGAGGAGAGAGCAAGATTTTTAGAAGGCAACACCAAGGCTTACTGCGTCCCAGCAAATGCTCTCTTTTTCCTACCTTATTGATATCTTTCAAAGACAATGTAGAAATCAAGTGACAGAAATAATAAGCATGGGCTAAGGTTGGAACAAAAAAATATTGTTCCTTAATCAAGAGAAAAAGGAATCATATAATTGACATTTGTGAAGTAAAAAAAAAAAAATCAGAAATTTGAACAAAACCTTCCGATCACAACATTCCTTTGATTGCCTTTTATTTTTTTTGTTCCAGACCAATAATAGACTATTGTTTCACTTTGTAGTTTTTGCAAGTAAATGACCTTTAAAAAAAAAAAGCTATGTCCTGATCTGACATTGATATCAGTTCGATATCAGCCAAAAATTAATGTCAGAATATAAATCTAAAATCTCTGACATTAGCATGCTGATAGAAACATTGCTGTTCTGTTTAAAGTTTAAACAACCCACTGGTTATTAAAAAATGGTTTAGTGGTTCTCTTACATATGCTCCATATGCTGCTTGAATGAAATCACTTGATCAAGCCTTTTTTTACTAATATAATCGACAAAATAAGCAAAAATTAGAGCATGATTTGCTCTAATATTGTATTGATTAAAAACTCAAACTCAAAGCTGCATAAAAGGTATTCTATAGGAAATTAAAAAGTTGTATTGGGACGTTCCTAACTTCATTTGTGGCTTTTCTCCTATTCCATAATAAAAGGGGCGGGTCAGAGAAAAGGATTCAGTATGATTTCAGTTCAATGTTTACTGCCACTGTGAGTTGTTCAGTCCAAAGTTTTCTGTTTGCTATTAAGTTTTCTGTAGTAGGGTCGGATCAGAGCCGAATAATTTATAAACCCCATCAGAGTCCTTTTAAAAGAAGATGGAGATTACCTAAAAAAAAAAAAAAAAAAAAAAAAAAAAAGAACCTGGAGTTTGGTACAAACTGGTCCAGTTTGAGCAGACCAAATGGGGCAAGAATAAAAACAGCCTTAAAAAACAGAATGATTGACATGGTGTCATATGAAAGTCAACTAATGGGTATTAATGCATTTACTGGAAAACTATTTTATTATGTCTGCTAAACATTAATGAATGCGTTGGTCATCATTAGGTTTTTTACAACAGCTTCAAAATAACTTTTAGTTCCTGTTTAGTTCTTGTCTGCAGTGAGGCTCAGAAATGTGTTTTTTATTTCGTTCCAGCAATTACATCAAGAGTTTAGCTGACCTTGGACCTAAGCAAGCAGTGTTCCTCATTAACATTGCCAAAGACTAACTGCCACCACTAATGTTCTTGTTAATGTTCTTGTTCTCAGTGAGCATTCCTGGTGTGAGCATCCATTTTCCAATAGGCTGATATGTGATACCTCAAATGGGAATAGGAGATGGAGGCTATCCCACAATGCAACACAAGCAGACTGTAAGCCCACCAGAACCGTCTCTCACACTGTCTCACCAGCCTCACCCTAATCCAATAAAATTTGTACGACTACTGTCTTTGTTTGCATGTTATTGGAAAAAATAAAAGCCTTTAAGTGTGCAAAGATTGGAAAACCAAGTTGTGATAAATAAAAATAAAGCGTAAGAAATAAAAACACTTCTTTATGTGGAAAAGTTAAAACTGCAGGTGATAGGTTTTGCTATGTGTGAAACTTGGTGTGCACACAGGATAGCACATGCTTACGAGTCATGTGAAAAGTCTTAACTCTCATTTGCCTCATATTTCCTCACCAGCTGTCCACAAGGAGGGCAGACTGAGCGAGTAAAAGGAAAGACGAATGGTGAGAGCGAGTGGAGGGAGAGCTGAGGGAGGGTGCGCTTTAGTAGGGGAACTATACAGTATAACACCTTGTTATCTTCAGCTGATCACTGGGCTGATTCAAGAAGCAACTCACTAACCACAGGCTAACAGAAAGAGCAGGATATGACTTCATTACAGCCAGCACACACAGTCTTAAAGAGTGTGCATGTGTCTCTGAGAAGCACTGTGA